AGATCTCTTTACGGAGTCATGGTCAGTTAATAGGAGAAAGAGTTGTGTGATGTGTCTTCTTCCGTTTCTTCTGTATCCCCATTGCTTTTTCTGTCTGAAACTTTTACATCATGGATGGGCCCTTGGGCCTTGACATCCCTCCTCTCAGTTCTCTGGGCAGATGAAACGGCACAGTTTTTCCTTTGCCATTCGGAACAGAGATGACATGAGGGAAGTGTCATACCTGATGTCACAGACGTGCCACATCAGTGACTTACTGCACACACTGCTGTTGTTCACTTGCGAATTTGTATTGATAAAGTCAGCGGTATATAATATTTTGTGTTGAAATTATAATTTAACCAAAATTTACATCACTAAAACTGTATACTGATTAAATTCTGGTAGGAGTTTCTTAAAATCGAACTATCAGACAGTACGATACGAATTGCAGAAAGTGAAAGGGTTATTTAATCCACTCTAAAAAAGAAGCGCACTTTGGCCCTTTCGTCGTACAAATGGCGCCCACGACGCCTTGCCTTTCCCCCAGAGCCAGAGGGTCGAAACCTTTTCTCTCAAATTTGGACACTCCTGAAAGGAAGGATGTGCTCTTTTTAGGTCACGGGTGCAATTAACTATTTCTGGTCATGATACATGCTCCACATTTTGCTATTACTTAATTGCTAACCACGAGTTATATAAGTAATGTCGGCTTAATAATTAAAGAAGGTTTCTTCTTGCATCAAGATCAAGGAGAGGAAGAAACAAATTTGAGTATGTTAGAATTGCATTATTGTCGGTGCACGGTTATAAGATGTATGTATTTACAAATCCCTTTCAATAATTAACACGATTTCAGAGCTTATTTTTATAATCCGAGACTTTTGGGAAGCCATCCGATATAGGGCCTCTGAATATTAGGGTTGTGCATCTGTTAGTTGATTCAATCATATATTATATGGTTGTTTGATTATGGTCATGATCATCTGTTTTAGTTGAATACAATTATTTACAATATAGTTCAATTAAGACACTTGCATAAGTTTTTTTACATAGTATCTTAATTATTACAAAAGACTTACACAACACTTTTGTTTGATTGATGCATAAGAAATATCTACCCTTTCATTTTTTCCTGCTAAGTGCAGATAGTTTTGATTTCAGACATATTGGTTTTTCTTTGAGGTGTAAATTTTGGTATCTTTCTTTTCTTGGTAATGCAAGTGAGCTATTGGGGGAAAAAAATACCCCTACAGGCTACAACCTTCATAAGTTTTACATCAATTGTATTATAATAATTTTTATAGAATGGTATTATGCAATCTTTCGTAACGTGGGTAGTGCTCTACTAATAGAATCCAGTTACAAGATATTTGATAAACTATATGTAAGATTAACTTATCTTACCGAAGGTTTAATTTGTGTAATGCAAATTGATGAAATGACGAATATAGTATGTAATAATAAAGAAATGTTAGTTGATAATAAATGGATTAAATTTAAAAAAGTATCACATTTGATTGAAAAATGTAAAAAATCATCAAACTTACAGAACTTTTGTGCAATATAAATTGATGAGATCATCAACGATTTAGTTAATACCTAAGAAAGTTTCATTCAAATTTATATCATGAAAAACTGACATGATATTTTTGTTTAATTGTTAGATAAGTAATTATTATCTCTTCATAAATTTTGTATATTGGCTTAGTCATTAAGACTTATGTTGTATGTTTTGTTTAATTGATATATATATATGGACGGTTCTATCGTACTTTGGGTAAAATCAAGGGTACGACATACCATGAGTAAAAAATTGCTATCTAGACTTCGAATTGACCGGAGTTTGGCATCTGATACTATTCCTGAACCTTTAAAGATTAAAATCTAGGTCCTAATTCTATAAATCTCACATACTAAGATAAATTTAATTAGAAACAAAAATCAACGACTATGATTCGTCGAAATATATGCAACAAATTACATGCACAATCTTAGGTGTTAGGCTCTATGATTTAGAAAACTAAGACCAAGGGTTCACTCATCAAGGGTTAGGGTATAGTATCATGCCCAAAAATCCGGTTAATTCGAGGTCTAGATAGTGGTTTCTTACTTAGAGTAAGTCGTACCCTAGAATTTACCAAAGGAACGATAGAAGTCACTTCGGTTAATTCTTACCAGGCTAGTGTACGCCCGGGCGTACGCTAGGTTAGCGTACGCCCCATTGAGTTTTGCTATATAGATCACGAATTAACCGGACTTTGGGGCATGCTACTATACTCTAACCTCTAATGGATAAACCCCAGTCCCTAATTTTCTAACCCAAAACATGAGATTCGTTTAATCTTAAAATGAAAATCAATGAAAATTTCAACGCCCGGACGTACGCTAGCCTTTGCCATATATATATTGGCAAAGGCTAGCGTACGCCCGGACGTACCCTAGCCTACCGTACGCCCGTTGAGTTTTGCTATTTAGACAATGAATTAACCGGAGTTTGGGGTATGATATTCTACGCTAAACCCTAATGGGTAAACCCTAGTCCGCAATTCACTAATCCAAAGCATAATATTCATTTAATCTTGAAATGAAAATCAACGGTTCTGATTTGTCGAAATTATTGTTGATTTTCATTTCAAGATTAAACGAATCTCATGATTTGGGTTAGAAAACTAGGGACTGGGGTTTACCCATTAGTGGTTAGGGTATAGTATCATGCCCAAAACTCCAGTCAATTCATGATCTAAATAGCAAAACTCAAATGGACATACGGTAGTCTAACGTACGCCCGGGCGTACGCTAGCCTAAACCATATATATATATATATATGTTTACCAGATTTACATAATTTTTATAGAATTTTTTTATATAAATCTTTCGTGTGATCTATTACAAAAATCAAGTCATTGAAAGCATCACATTTAGTTAAACTACAATGAAAAATTGGATAATGTCTATTTTTTATCCAACCCTATTAAAATGCTATTTATTAGCCAAATTTTTTGTAATGTGTTAAAATATTAGCCATTTTTACATTATCGTTAATAATTTTATAACTATTTTCTTAGTTAAAATACTAAAATTTTGGAATGTTGACCTTCATGTGTCTCTTCCAAATCAGTATTATGTTGTCAAGTCAATATTACTAACAAAATTGCTAGCTGAAAGTTTTTTTTTCCGGTAATGATTTCTTCCATTAAGTGTAGATTTAATCTTCCTACCACTCTACTCTGCCTAACAGCCTCCTTAAATCTTCAATTTTCTTGTGCTAATAACCAAACCTCCTCACACAATTGAAAAAACACAACCTCCCATGGCTTGGGAATTTCTCCAAAAACACGCCTACATCTTTCCTTCCAAACCAAACTGCAAACCCAACAACAAATAGCACTCATAAGAGAACCTTCTCTACCATTCTTTGTCACTAAACACACCTCTTGCAGCATCTTCTCCCAATCGGAAGCCCAACTTTGCAGCATACTGCCAAATACCGCAGCAAACAAGTGCCAAGTATAATCACAACTACAGAACAAATGAGAGCGGCTTTCTTCCTCCAAATCACAAAGAACACACACTGCCTCATTGATCTTACCCCACATCTTGAGCTTGTCGCGAGTCACTATTCGATTTAAAATTATAATTCTTAGTATTTCAATAGATTTGACTAAAAAAAAATCCGAAAAAGATTTGGCTAATAAATAGTCATTACTTTGAAAAATTTAACTTACCTTGCATAACTTTTGCGTAAATGCAAATTGTTGAGATGATGAACATTATAATCAATTATAAACTTTATGTAATGCATTTTTAATAAGTAAATATTCCATAATGTAGAATGAAAAACTACTGAGATAGTTGTCTAAAGGTAAAAAATACTTATGGTGAATTTGGAGTAGGAGTTGAAAGACAAAAATTTAAATTAACAAATCACTGTGAAAAAAAAAGAGCGTATAATAAAACCGAGTGTAGAGGATAAAAATAAGTGAAGAATAAAAAAATATCAAGATAGTTGTCCCAAAGTAAATAATATTATGGTGAAATTGAGTGTAAACGATGGAAAGCGTAAGCGATGAAAGCGAAATTGAGACAAAATCTTTTTTTTCTTCTTTTTCTCTTTGACAATTCTTGATGATTTTGTTTTATCAAATATTACTCATGATAAAATTTATGGATACTTTCGTCAAGCAAGTTTAATTCTTTCAGCGCACAATCACAATCGGGGAAAATAACCATATCAATAGCTAATTTTTTAAGGAACATAGATGTACTATACTACACTCTTCTACAGCCACTCTGGCCAACCAAAGCTCTTGGTATTGATTAGTTTACCTTTCTCATGATTTGTTTTTTTAGCAAGTCTCGTTTTCATGATTCGATTAGGATTTGCTTGAATGAGAGTACAAGCTAATCAAGTATGGCAAGAGATCAAACCAAAAAAAGCTAAAGAGCTCTTTGATATGTTTACAATGTTTGTTTGTACGTTAAAATCAGCTCTTGGTTTTGGAATTATTATATATATTCAAACTTTGGCAGTTGGAGTGTCATATTTCTTTTACCCATTTGTCATCATCAGTCAGAATATTGTAGTGAAAATTTGTTTGATTATTCTTGATCAAGTTTGAATTGCGTATGGATTTTGATTGAACTAGCCAGGCACTGAAGTCAATGGTTGGAAAATAAATTATTCTTCTATGTCCAAAATACTCGGAAGATGACAAGCTAAATACCCATATGGTTTATGGATAATTCTCCACTCGAGACATCAGGATAATCAATTAAATACTATTCGTTTAATGAACGATTATCAATTAGTGTTATCGAGGAATAAAAAATATAAAATTAAATATACAATATAAATTTATAAAAAAAATAGAATCAAACCCTTACATCAATATGAAACAACTAGTGAGATCTTTCATTCCCTAAATGTGTTTTACTCTATTGTTCTAACGACCAACAAAATTCATGCGATCAATAATCAAGTTCAAACAGAGATATCGAGTAAGCAACAACCAGATCACTCATCCCTGATGCAACTTCCTTTCAACATGTTTATTATTACGCAAGGAAAGTGATTATCCATGTCCAATCCCAATAACCTTCAAACATCTATACATCGAACATAAGACAAGGTTTTAACGAAGAAGAAGAACAACAAAAAGATTTTCTTCACAGTTTGGACTACCATGACAGGCCACCAACTCTCTCACCCTCACTCTCTCGTTTGCTTATAACTTATTTCCCAAGGCAGAATCCGATGGGGAAAATGTTCTGAAAGTAATTAATTACGTAGTGATCAAGGTAAATTAACTATATACACAGCCGTAATCATCAACTGATCTCACCCAGCTCCGTCAAGCTCAAGTCCATCTCACTGAAGCTGAACCCATTCAGAAAACCCAGCTCGTCCCCAATCGGATCCTTCATCTTGAACTCCAAACCCGCCGGCCAGCCCCAATCGGGTTCCGGTTCCAACATTACCCGATCCGAATATCCGTCTCCCCTGCACCCAGAACCCACAGCCGCCGTCACCGCCGTCGTCAGGCAGGAATTCCAGGTCGATTCGATATGGTTGGGGAATTCCACCTCATCCAACGGGGCCGATGACCAACCCAGCAACTGCTCGCTCGTTGGGTTGGGATCCAACGGCCGAGATTCGTCGTCGTCGATCGAATTGTTCTCGCTGCTACAGTGACTCCCTTTCGGCAGCAGAGCACTATTTTCGGACTCTGTTCCGCCGCTGGATTGCTTCTCCTGATCATCGAGCGGACGGTGGGTGACGGGATCGATCCCCATCTTGATCAGCTTCTTCTTGATGTGGGTGTTCCAGTGGTTCTTGATCTCGTTGTCTGTCCTTCCGGGCAATTCCGCCGCAATTTTCGACCATCTCTCGGAAAAAACAGAGTATTACCGGAAACAGAGTATTAATTGCAGCAATTAAGGGCATGAAGAAGAAGAAGAGCTGAATAACAGTTAGTGTGTGTACCTGTTGCCGAGGCGGGAGTGGAGCTGAATGACGAGCTGTTCCTCGGCGTCGTTGAGGAGGCCGCGCTTGAGGTCCGGGCGGAGGTAGTTCGTCCACCGGAGGCGGCAACTCTTCCCGCAGCGGCGGAGGCCGGCGAGCTTGGGGACGGCGCGCCAGCAGCATTGGCCCTGGGTGACGATGAAGTTGACCAGCTTCCTGTCTTCGTCGGCGGTCCATGGCCCCTTCTTTACCCCGAGCTTGTCGCAACACGGCTGCCTTCCCATCCGATCATACAAACTCGGTCACAAATTGCTCGCCGGAAACAGGGGTTTTCTTTTGGAGAGAGGGATTTGTGGAAAGTATATTTTTTTGGGGAAGGTATTATGAGTGATGATGGAAATGCAAGCAAGAAAAGGGTTTGTGGAGAAAAGTAATCAAAAGAAACAAAATCAGTGCACAAAATGGCCACCAAAAAGCTCCCACTCAACCACCTTTATATACTAGTTTAGAGTAGGCTTTTAGAGAGGGAGTGTCATTGATCTCCTTTTACTTGAGGGTGAATCATCAAATTGGTACAATTTTTCTTTGATAATTTCTTTAATGGCGGCATTAGGATACACCATTTGTTTGAGATTATTTGGTTCCATAAATATACGATGAAAAATTTCGTGTGAGCACGAGTGATTCAAGTTCAGATTTTGTTAACTGTCGTTGGTGAATTTTTGTCAGATTAATAGGTGATGCGAATTAAAACTCGAAATACATTAACCTACGTCAACATTTTAAATAAAAATACACAAAAGACACACTTATTACGTTTTATACTATTGCACTTGTACGACATTGACACCTATATGTGCTTAGATTTGGGAAGACTAGCTATTATCGTTTCGTAGTCGATTTATAAGGTGATCCTTGTTGCGGTTACTTAAACCGTGTTAGTATTGGGCCTTGTTGGGGCCTCGTCTGATTCGTTGGATTAGGGTTTTAACCCTAAGTTTATCTATATAAGCTTAGCTATCGACTTGTGTGATAGCAAGCCGTCAAGATGTAATCCTAATAAGAGATCAGTCGTGAGCTCATAATAAGAGATCAGTCGTGAGCTCTTATGAGCTCACCGTGGATTAGTCTCGATCAATCAATCGATCGAGGATACCACGTAAAATCTTGTGTTGTGTGCTCGTTCCTTCCGCATCATCAAATTCTACATGGTATCAGAGCAAATCTCGATCCTTGATTAGGGTTTGAGCTTCCATCCCTCCACTTCCGTGGTTTCTCGTTTTGGATGAGCAGTCCCGCGCTCCATACGTCCAAGTGACATAGGCGAAGTCCAATCCGCTTGTTCAATCATCCCTGCTTCATTACCATCATTGACGGCGCCATCGTTGGTCACAGTCAAGGACCCGGGAGTCACGACGTCAACTGTGAGACACCTTCCTCGAGCTCATGTCGGGCATCCAGTTCTGTCCTGAATCGCTCATCCTTGGGGTCATTGTCACAGTCGCTAAGTCACAGGTAGTCTGCAGGAGAGCCGATATTCAGTCCGTTTCCCTAGCTACCGTGTGATCCCGACGGGCATAGATCCTCAACAATCGGGAAAAGAAGTTGTTACTCCTCCGGTCCCTCCTCTGGTCGTCATCATTGCCAGTCGCAGAATGCCAAATCACAGTCACCGCCTCCATCAAATTCGGCGGTGCCATCATGGTTGTCCGCTCCAATATAATTTTGGAGCTCCGTCATTATCTTTGCCTCGTCGGAGCTTTCCGCCTCCGACTTGGTCATGCACAAGGATCTCAATCCAGGTCTATTTCCATCACCTATAATCAAAATTTTGTTTGATGGAGTCGATTGGCCGCTGATGCTACATCTTGCGGCGTGGTAGTCGGGTTTTTTACAATTTGCTGGTGTCGGGTCATCTTCACCAAACATTGCCCCCTGGCTGTATGTTTTGGCTCCTCAAGTTATTAATTCTACTGGTTGTGGGGCCTTAGCTTTTGCGACAAATATCAAAGCCTTGCAGTTGCACGTCCTTGTAGCAAAACACCATATTGGTTACGTTTGAGTTGTTGAGTCGGTAAACTCCAATTCAAGCCGAGAATTGTTGATTGCAGTTCTTTGTATGGTGGTCTATCATTGGGCAGTGGAAGGTGAGTTTTAGCACCAAGATCAAGCACTTTGATCGGTTTCAACCATCCGGGTAACGAGGCCTTCATGTACCATAAATTGGTCGTCCCCTGGCGTTCAAAAGGTAGTACGATCATAGAAGTCATCGTCCCTTCATCGTCCAGCTGGCATTCACGATCAAAAAAATGGTCGTCCCCCTTCCGGTTCATTAGTGGGCACATATTAACCATTCATCACTTTTCAAGACGGGCATTCACGATGTTCATGCTCCGGCTTGAGGGGGAGAATAGGAGGTCAACATACGTCGGTCGACTAACTCCGTCATCAGGTCGACCGCGATGCACCAAGTGTGTTCCAGTTCAAGAGACGCAGTCAACCGTCTCCATCGTCAGGTTGTTCAGAGAGAGTCAGTCGTCTCTAATCAACCTTGTCTGAGATGTTATTCATCTTGAGTTTTGTGGTTCAAGCCATCATGCTTGTTCTTCACATTTACTTATTCAAGCTCGACATTCTTGTCATTCATGTCTTCGCTTGAGGGGGAGTCACTACAACAAAAAGTAGGTTTCGCGACCAAAAATTTTACAACCAAACTAAATTTGGTTGAGAAAAGGTTAGTATTTACAACCAATTAAATTTTGGTAGCCAAAATATTAACAATTTGGTTGCTTATTAAAACCAAAGTATTGATAACCAAATAAAACTAGAAGAGACCAAATAATTTGGTAGCAAAAGAATTTATACCTTTTCCCAACCAAATTATTTGGTAGCAAAAGTATTTATACTTTTTTCCAACCAAATAATTTTGGTAGCAAAATTATTTTTAGCTTTTCCAACCAAAAAATTTGGTAATATAATAATTTTTACTTTTATCCAACCAAATATAATTGGTTATGAGTTTAAATAAGAATTTTCAAAATTTTAAATAACTAAATAATTTGGTTGCAAATCCAATAAGAAAATTCAACAACTAAATTATTTGGTTGTCATTGTGTTGCTCTTGTATAAAAATGTAGGTACTGTATGTAACTATTACTGAAACTTAGTGGCTGTAGTAATAGTTATGCATAAGAATCCATCTTTAGTCTTTACGCTTTTTTCCTCCTCTATCTCCTTCCTTCTTCCGCTTAACTTGAATTTTCGTCTTCAGTCTCCTCCTCCTCCTCCTCCTCCTCCTTCTCTTCTCAATTCCGATTCTGACTCCAATTTCTCATCTTCTCTCGTCTCCTCTTAATTTACATTCCTTATTTGCTTCGTTGAGATCCGGCAATTCCAGTTTCCCAAAGATAGCTCCAGGCGCCGTCATCTTGATCCCCGATGACAGGATTGGCACTCTCGTCACCGCCGTCATTGAGAAAGTCATGGAGGCGAAGGAGCACGAGGTCGTCCCTGGCATCATTGTGAGATCACGAAAGACGGCCTATAGCTCGAGTCGCCCCTGGCATCATCGAGAGAACACGCAAGCCGAATACGCTGGAGCACGAGCGTCACTCCAATCCCTAGCCATGGAGTGCAATCCCTCACCAGCGCCGATGTGATTTTGATCTCGAGCACGGTCGCCGCCTCGGAACTGTGAGGCCTTCTCCTTTGTCTCTCTGATTTCTCTTTGCTGAGCTAGGGTTCTGGAAGCTCTTGTCGCAGGGGAATTGATCGCGAATAATCCCGCCTCCAACTCTGGCAAATTCCTTCTCCGCAGGTGAATTGGTATTTGCATCAAGTAAGAACTGATAGTTATCTGTTGAGGTTAATGTTCTAATTCTTACTTTGTTGTGATGCTTTGGTGTGATTTTTCGTTGTGGTTTTTCTGCATAACAAAGGTTTAATGGAAAATGAGTTCGAGGAGGTCGTTTGAGTGCTTCAGCAGGCGCCGTAGAAATCAGGTTAGGGGTTTTGAGTTTTCTAAAATCTAACTTCTTCGTTCTTTGCTCTAGTTGTCCCGTCTTTGGTGTTAGTTCTTGATTGCAGCACTAGGTGAACATGATTATTGATACTTGGAGCTTTCAATTATGGAAGTGGTGAAACCGACTAAGATTGAGGTCACATCTGCACGAAGAAGCCATGAAGTTGACTCAAGCATTGTCAAGCCTCCTGCTTACTGTGAGATGAATGTGGCTCCAACTAAATGAGATGAAACTTCCTGTGATTCCTTCAAAAGCCATGATATTGAGTACGTGAACAATAATGACTTGCATGAGATTGATTCTATCAACAAGAAGGCATTGAACAAGCTCTATATTACTGATAACGAATTAGCAGCAGGTGAATTACTTTGACAAAATCTCAATTTGTCCAGTCATCTGTCTTTTTTTGGGTTGCTGAAGATGATCAACCACGTTTGTGGAGGTTGCAGAAAAGTAGACTTGTGCCAGATACCTTGTATCTGTCCGTTAAATACATTGATCGATATCTCTCCGGCAATGTGATGAACAAGCAAAGTTTGCAATTGCTTGGTGTTGCCTCCATGATGATTACTACATAAGTAACAAGTTTCCAGGTTTCTTGTTGAGTGACGTTCCTTTACTGGTAACTTGCATTCATCCATTGCACTGCCTTCTGCAGTTCTGCTTTTTCTTGGCTTCTGTGTGCTGACTTCTTGTTATCGTTGCATGGCCCTTGTTATGAAGACGATTTGTGAGAGCTGCTCAAGTAATCGATGAGGTCCCATCAATGCAGTTCGAATGCTTCTTAGTAAATTACATCAGTGAACTATCTCTGCTGGAGTACAACATGCTTTGCTACCCTCCATCAGTTGTTGCAGCTTCTGCCATTTTCTTGACCATGGGTAGGTCATAGATGATGAAACCATATATTACTAAGTTACTAAGGTAGTAATGTACAAAACTCACATAATATTTTCTCTGTTTCTAAGTCGTGCATATGATAAATAAATTCATGTTTAATTCGTCCAAGAGATTGGAAATTCTCTCTGTCAATTTTGTTTCCAGTATATACTTTGTTAGCTTTTCTGCTTTTGTTCTCGCCTGATCTAATTGTATTATTGTCTTTTTCTTTGGTTTAATTTTTCTTCTTATCAGGATAGCTGAACTCACGAGCACATTCCATACAGGTCTGCCACTACTTTACCTACTAAGACCTAAATTGATTTGATTGGTTTCATGGGATGATTTCTTTGACACTACTATACTGCCATATAAATAGATTCGTGCACGTAACCACTATCGTTGGTAATGTTTCGTTCATAGTTCCCCTGCTTTGTTGATATATGCAGAATGCTAAAGCTATCAACTACCGTGTCTACAATTGGTGTCCTTTGTTTTTACATGATTTTCATTCGTTTTCTTATTCGGGTGGTATTGATTACTGAAGCTACTT